GGACTGACCTTGAAGGAGCTGGGGGTGGTGACGGCCGACAGGGAGCTCTGGCGTGGGCTGGTCCATGAGGTCATGAAGAGTTGGAGACGACTGAACGAATGAACAACAAAACAGACAATGTGGTTGCTGGGGCCGTTTTTGGTCAAAATATATTTAGCCATTTGTGCTTTTTCTATTTTTATCAGTTTTATACTAATTTATGCTATGCTTTTGATACGAAATCAGTAAATAGTTGCAGTGGCTGCTTCCTAGAAACTGCCAGTTGGGGGGATCGGAAGAAGAATAACTGAACAGCATTGTAACAACACTGCTTATGCCTTCATAATTCCTCAACAGGATTCCAGCCATGATCTTTTTTTAAAAAATAATGTATTATTCAAGTCATTTCATTGAACAGGACAAATATCTTTGCATTGCCTTTATTCACTCCTTACTCCTTATGGTGCTGCTATTGTCAAGGCTGCATATGCTGAAAAATATATATATAAAGTCACCTTGCAAGATTAGTTCCTCTTATTCTGTACCAAGTAAACCTAAATTTTGTAACCTGTGTAAATAATACAAATAAAATGCAAGTATATTAATGATTTAAATAATTTGGCATTGTTCAGTCATGAAGAAAGGCAAAGAGTCATTGAAATATTTTCGTGCCCATCTTTGCAGCTTCAGATGCTAGAAGCTTGGCTGAGAAAGAATGAATTGCTCAGCCTAGGCTCACAGTCTATGGCTGAATGGACTAATTCTGATTTTCTAAAGCCATCACTCTGTCCCCTGGGTCACATTGCATTTTCCTTTTATATGGAGCATAGAACCGAGATACATTGGAGGCTTTTCATGGCTTGCTTAGAACTGTTCACCAAAAAGATTAGGACCATGTTCGCAGTTTGGAAAATTACTTTAAAATGAATTTATTCTGTAATGCAACAGAAAAAATTGTAACTTATTGCTGATGATTTTAAAAGAATGTAATAACTCAGTCTGTAACTCTCCTTGAGCCTTAGGGAGAGACAGGCAAGTAGTAAACAGGATGATGATGATGTCGATGACAATGATGTCTACTATATTACTTCTTATTTTTCATTTCTTATTTTAATCCTAAAAAGGAAAAACTAGCTTATAATGGGGACAGTTATTTGAAAATATTTTAGTCAATTTCAAATTACTCAGTGCACAATAAAAGTTATATTACTAAGTGAATTACCATTTTAAAAAAATGAAGATAGTTCTATCTCAGTTTTACCCCCAAAATTAATATTTAACTTCTCTTACTTATAAGCCATTGTTTCCAAATCTCGCCCCTGCCCTCAGTTCTTTCAGTCTGGAAATCTATGGACCAAGCAAAGGTGGTTGCATTTAGATCAGGTGAAACATCTTATTTTGTTCCAGTGTGATTTTGTTGCTGAGAAACCAAATCCATAAGAAAATCAAAATGCGTTAGGGGAAGACACCAAAAGATGGAAGAGGGAATGCACCAAATCATTAATTGGGTAATATGTTTGAATTCAGTTAATATCCAGTTTGGTTCCTTGCTGGACCAGTAATGATGTCTGAAATGATGGTTATCTTACTTAACTCACTTCCATCTATTTAGCTGTAGAGTTACTTATCTGAGAAATATCCGGTATCAGCAATATTTGCCTTTTATGTTTGGAATCCACTCTAAGTTCCTCCATGGAGGTAGGATGAAATATAAATATTGTTATGTTCATTCCTTTGATTGTCAGTAATCCATGTGGCTCTGCTTGGATTTCAGCCTCTTAGATTTATTAGAATTATATATTATTATTTATATCCCCATTAATAGAATGGAGAGATGATCCTTCTTTTCTCTGCATTAGAGTTCTAATCATGGCCTTAAGATACTACTACTACTATTACTACTACTATTAATAATAATAATAATAATAATAATAATAATAATAATAATAATAATTTATTTGTATTCCACCCCATCTCCCTGTATATTCAGACATATACAGACACAAGGCAAATATTCAATGCCTCAAAACAATGAAACACAGATACACAGGGAAAGGGAAAGGCTTCCCATTCATCTCCTGCTCTGGGGGTTGGTACTCATCTCCATTTCAAAGCCGAAGAGCCTGCTTCTTCGTAGACACCTCCTAGGTTATGTGGCAGGCATGACTGCATGGAAAGCAGGTTACCTTCCCGCTGAGGCAGTAGCTATTTGGATGTTTTCGAACGGTTAGATTGGCAGGAGCTGGGGCTAACAGTGGGAGCTCACCCTGTCCCACAGATTCAAACCACCAACCTTCTAGTCAGTAAGTTCAGCAACACAGCGATATAACCCGTTGCACCACCACAATAGATTTAGCTGATGAAACTATTGTTGATTATAAGCATTGCTTGTCCAAAATCTTGTTGCTAGTTCCAACTCGAGCAGACCTACTGAATCAATGGTAATTTGGTACTTACATTGATTCAGTAGGTCTACTCCTGTTGGTATTGACAATAAGATTCAGCTCTCAAGTCCCTTTTATCTGATTGCCCTCAGTGTAAAAAAAAGTACACTTCCCTGCAGACCATCCCATTTTCAGAAATTTTCAAAATCAACATGCAAGATCAAGGGTCAATGCTTAATAGATCAAAGGAGGAACCTGGGAATGCTCCTGGAGATTGTGGAAACTTACAATAGGGTAGCAGGCCCATAATTTACACAGAACTTGACTAACCGAGTAATAATGCAGTCCAGGGTCAGGGGAAAAATAAACGTGTTTCTCAATAGTTGGACAAGCAGCAAAGCATACGCAAGAGATTCAGCGGTTTTTATCATTCCTGATACGGTTGACATCCCATATGGCCTTGCACAGTAAAACTATATGTGAGAACCATATTCCTATCAGGTAATGCAATTGCAACTCCTACAACATATTGATTACATGGGCCTGCAGTGAATTTTGTCACTGTTCTTAATGTATTTGGGATGCTAAATTTGCAAAACACAATAAACATGTCATACCACACACAGTTCTTTCAGAAATTTGATATTTTTTCTCATTCACTTATTACTCATTTCGATAACACTTAAATATTTCTTTTACTGCTTTTGAACTCATTTTTCTGTGAATTGAAGTGTTTTGAAAGTCTATTATAAACAATCCCCCCTTTTTATAGTTTTCTCCCCAAAGAAATCTTCCTTGCTCACACATTACAAAATAAAAACATCAAAATAAATAGGGTAAAAACTGTGGTGGAGCCATAATTTAGAACCTTTTTAAATGATGTTTTTATGACCCCCTATTTTGCAGGTGTGTGTATGTGCATTCAGGTCTCTTGTCAACTTATAGTAACCCCATGAATCTCAAAGAGATTGAATACTCAGAGGTGGTTTGTCACTTTCGTCCTCTGAAAAATAGCCTTCAACATTTGATTATATACAGTGTGAAAACAGAAAATACTTTGGACATACACAGCAAGGCACCGGCTATTTCCCCATTGCATGAAACGGCTCTTGGAATTGTAATCTGGCACTTTGAAGAAACAGGTGAATTGATCTGTATGTGACATGTTTTGAATGAGACAAACTAAAGCCATCGTAAAAACATTTTGAAACCATTTTCATTTATGTATATGGAATTTTCAGGCGCTTAAGTATTATCTGTTTCCAGGGGGTTAGCTGGATACTACTGGAAATCTTGAACTATCCTATTACATATATCAAGAATTTACAGAGATGGGTTGGAGACTCAACCAAAGGCTTCCTTCCTAACCTCAAGAAATCCTTTCCATGTTTTCCCATTTCTTTGCAGAATGCTTAGTCATTGCACATATTCTGAGAGTGTCTTTGTTTCTCTCTTTCTGATTTATGGTTGCTACATGAAAATTGAGAATCAAATTCAATATAAAAGCAGAAACCTCTGTTATCTTTCATGGTTAGTGTATTAACTTGTATGATTGTGATATTTCCTTTTTGAATACTCATCCTCTACTATTCGCCTTCATAGGAATGTTCTCTAGATCAATGGTTCTCAACCTTCCTAATGCTGCGACCCCTTAATACAGTTCCTCATGTTCCCCCAACCATAACATTTTAGTTGCCACTTCATAACTGTAATTTTTCATCCGATATGCAGGATGTATTTTCATTCACAGGGACAAATTTGGCACAAATACCCGATGTGCTCAAATGTTAATACTGGTGGGGTTGGAGGGGACTGATGTTGTCATTTGGGAGTTGCAGTTACTGGGATTTATAGTTCACTGACAATCAAAGAGCATTCTGAACTCCACCAACAAGGAATTGAACCAAACATGGCACACAGAACTCCCGTGACAAACAGAAAATACGAGAAGGGTTTGGTGGGCATTGACCTTGCGTTTTGGAGTTGTAGTTCACCTACATTCAGAGAGCCCTGTGGACCAAACTTGGCAAAAAAAACCTCAATATTCCCAAATGTGAACACTGGTGGAGTTTGGGGAAAATAGGCCTGACATTTGGGAGTCAAGGTCCATGACCAATATAAAATACTGTGCTTTCTGATGGTCTTTAGTGACCCCCCTCCCCCTTGGAGTTCTGACCCCCGGGTTGAGAAGCACTGTTCTATATTGTCCAGAGATTTTCTAATATCTGTTGGTTTAAAAATACATCTGGCGTGGAAGTGAGGGAGGGTAAATTTTCTTTGGAGAGAATGGCACAACTGTGTTTGTTTAAAGAATTTATACTCATCTTTCAATGAATTTCCAAGAATGGCTTATAAAACGTTAAAACTGCAATAGAACAAATGGAAATGCAAATGGAAGTGGTTAACTGAATCACTTATTTCTCTTTCATGCACTGAGGCACAAATACAAATACACAATGCTGCTCTCTCTAAATGCTTTTAACAAGAATGAAACTGACTCGTCATTGTTACATGAGCAGCTTGTGCCTGAAAGTAACCTCAAAATGTAACTAGAAAAATTATCCAGAATTATAAATTGTGTGAATATTCGGGGTGTTTATCTAATCACTGGTGTGTGTGTTTTTTTTTCTTTTCCAGTTGGGAAGACATCCCTGATCACAAGATTCATGTATGACAGTTTTGATAACACATACCAGGTGAGCCTTGCTGTTTCTATAGTGTTTCTTACAGTACAATGCTTATGAAAAATAAAAAGGTGCATTTTCTGGTGTTATTTGGTAACAACATTGAAATCAAGATTGTCCTCTCTACAAAATAACTTGTCCCTTTTCCCATGGCAAATGAAAAATTGGACCAGAGGAGAAACAGAATTTAAATCTCCCTAAATTTAGCCTTACATATAGAGCCACATCTTTCTGGTCCTTTTTTCTACCAGTTTAACACTGGCATTACCCAGAAAATAATATTAGAAAGCAGAAAATGGTTTTGACTGGCCTTGTCACATCATGTATTTTCTTGCTGAATTGAATTGTAAGGGGAGTTCTCTTCAGGCTTGTGAGGCCACTTCTATGTTGTTCTTATATCCCAAGATCTGATCCCAGATTATCTGCTTATCCCAGATTATATGGCAGTGGAGACTCATATGATCCAGTTCACAGCAGATAACCTGGGATCAGATCTTGTGATATAAGGACAGTGTAGAAGGGGCCTGAGATAGCCCTGAAAGACAGCTGTGTTTGATCCTTGAAGCCCACCTGCCATAAATCCTATGACCCTGAACATCATGTTTATTAGTGTGCCCACTAACAATATTAAGAAGGATATTGATAAGCTAGAACGTGTCCAGAGGAAAGGTGACCAAAAGCCAAGCCTCGGGGAGCTGGTTACGTTTAGCCTGCAGAAAAGAACGTTGAGAGGGGACATGAGGGCCATGTTTAAATATTTGAAAGGATGTCACATTGAGGAGGTTGCAAGCTGCTCTGGAGACTAGGACATGAAGCAATGGATTGAAATTGCAGGAAAAAATATTCAATTTAAACATTAGGAAGAACTTCCTGGTGGTAACAAAACTGTTGCAGGGTGCAGTTCGTTTGATGAAAAAGAGGACTTGTACTTATCACTGAGGACTAGCAAGAATATAGTGTTTAGATCCAGGGAAGTCATGCTACCCCTCTATTCTGCCTTGGTCAGACCACACCTGGAATACTGTGTCCAATTTAGGGCACCATAATTGAAAAGAGATGTTGACAAGCTGGAATGTGTCCAGAGGAGGGTGACTAAAATGATCAAGGGTCTTGAGAACAAGCCCTATGAGGAATGGCTTAAAGAGCTGGGTATATTTAACCAGAAGAAGAGAAGGCTGAGAGGAGACATAATAGCCATGTATAAGTATGTAATGAAATGGCAGGGAAACAGGTTTTGAGGAAAGGAGAGATAATTACCAAGAGACATCCTTTCTGGAGATCAGAAAAGAACGGCTTTATTTATCCAGCTGGTGACTCTGGTGGACTCATGTCCCAAAAATCAAAACCCAGAGCCCCGATCAAGGTGCGGACTGGCCTTTTATAGTCTCCAATCGGAATGAAACAAAGAACATACATCTTCATACAATCATCATCATCCCTACGTCATCCTGGCATCATAAGAATATCAGGTTCCAACCTCCAACATGCAAAAAGCATGTCTCTGTGTCTTGCTGAAAAGCAGGCATTTTGCAGTCATCGATCAAGGGGCCTCCTCTGACCTGTCAAAAGGTGCTTCTCCGTCCTAGCACGGGTTTCTCCAACAGGCTTATCTCTCTTCTGGAATGCATACCCCCCTTCCTCTTCAGCCCCTTTTGGAGACAAGCAGCTTGCTTGCTGTTAGCATTCTTGCTACACAGAGGGAACTAGATTTTCCTATACATTTAAAGTACATATGATTTTTATGCATAAATAAATCAATAAATATCCATTTTTCCAATATCTCCTCATCAATTCCCCCCTTTAGGGGTTTAGACTGTTCAGTCTAACAACCCCTACTTAACTTCTATTAGAGAATAATTTCTTTCCTTTATTCAAAAGCATTCACCTGGGGGTGTTTTCAGAACCTGTGTTAATCTATGTTGCAACCATTGAAAAGACTAGGAAGATTTAAGACTCAATGGTCTGACTTTTGCTCTTATAAGACTAGAGTAGCCAAACTATAACTTCCTTATTAATCAAAGCAGACAGAAAAGCAAATTTTACAATGGACTCATAATGCTCATATATCCCAAGTTAGCATTTCTCCCATATTGATCAAACATACATTTTGGCATGCTTATTGAACCAGTTACCAATTCACAAAATTGACACATAAATAAACACATATATCACCCACAAAGTTCTCATTCTTCTGGAATCTGGCCGTACGTTGAGTAACCTTTCCTGTGGGTTACAGTAAGGCCTAGCTCCGTCTTCTTTCCTCTCCAGTTGTGGGTCTGACAGTGCGTAGA